TGGTAAAAGCTATCAGGAGACTAGAAGTAGAACAGAACCTTCTCAACAGATCAAAGACATGCACTCCATACTTCCAACAAAAACTCCTTCTATGAATAGAGGCGATACAATGCTTTCTCCCTAAAGTGGGGAACAAGGGCATATATGCCTACTCTTCATCTGTCCATTAGACTTTGAAACATAGGTCTAAACCACAATAGCCTGGCAATAAAATGACATAACTAGAACTTAATGACTTTCAAGTTCCATAATTTTCGTACAAATGACTTGAATTTATCCTTTTTTGGGTGAATAATGTCCTATTGCATAAATGTGTCACATTTTCTTTGTCCACTCATGGATGACTGAGTATCTAGACTGCTTCTATTTTTTGGCTATTCTGAATTGCAGTGCTATAAAAATTGGTAAGAATGATTTGCTAAACTGATACCTTTAGCTCTTCTGAGAAATTACTCAGGATAGGTATAGCTGGTTCAAATATAATTCCAATTGTTACTTTTTTGTAGAATCTCCATATTATTTTCCATAGTGCTTGTACTATTTTATATTCCCATCAATAATGTAGAATTCCTTTTTCTCCCCAATCTCACCAGTAATTGATTTTTTATAAAAAATATATTGATGTTAACCATTCTTTCTGGAGTAAAATGTAATCTTAGTGTTATTTTCACTTGCATTTATCTAATAGGGGAAATTCTGAATGTATTTTTTAATACTTGTTAGTCATTTATTCTCTTTTTCAGAAATGTCTATTCATTTCTCTCACGCATTTTTATTGAATGTATTATTGAGTTTTCTTTATATATTCTTTTTATATCTTTGTTTTCTTTATATATTCTAGGAATTAGCCCTCTCCAAGTAGTAACTGGCAACTTTTAGCACTCTGCAAATTTTTACCCCGTCTTTTGTTTCTTTTGTTGTTCAGAATCTTTCCTTTGGATGCAATCACATGTGTTGATCCTTAAGGTTAATACTTATGCCATTAGTATTCTCTTTAGGAATTCCTTCCCTTTGCCTATCTCTTCAAATATTTTTCCTACTTTATACTGCAGAATATTTCGTGCTTCTGTTTTACTGTCTAATTCTTAAATCCATTTTCATTTGCTTTTATTGCAGGGTGAGAGACACAGGTTTGGTTTGATTGTTCTGCATGTGGTTAACTAGTTTTCTTTGGCCCCTGATTTTCATACCAGGGGTCAAACTCAGGACCTTGCACTTGCAAAGCAGGTGTTGGCACCACTGAGCTAAATTCTGGGCCTGCACCTTATTTTTTGTAAAGGTCATCATTTTTCTGCATATGTTTTTCATTCCTTTGGCAAAGATCAGACGACTGTAAGTACATGGTGGTGTTTCTGTTTATCCTATTTTATGACATTGGTCTATGCATACTTTTGTACCATTATCATGCTGTTTTGTTAAAATAGCTTCATAGTCTAATGTGAAACCTGGAGTTGAAATTCTTTCAGCTTTCTCTTTTTGCTCAGCATTGCTCTGGATATTCTTCTGGTCTCATACATTTTAATTACTTTTTTCAGTTATATGAAAAATGTTTTTGGTATTTTAATAGGAGGTGCATTAAATCTATAGATCTCTATTGGTAAAATTACCCATTTAATCATAAGATTTCTCCCTCTTTAGAGACAGAAAATGTCTTTTTTTTTATAATGTCAACTTCAATCTTTCCTCATAGTAGTTAAATTTTTGTTGTACAAGTCTTTCACCTCCTTGCTTAGGTTGATTTCTGGGAATATTACTTTTTGAAATATCAGGATTGGTTTTGTTTTACTGACTTCTTTTTCAGTAAGTACAATATTGATGAATAGAAGTAATATTTTATTTTCTGAAATGAATTTCTATCCTGCCACTGTGTTGAATTTGCTTTTTAGAGGCATAAGTCTTTTCACTGAGATTTGTTTTGATCTTCTGTGTGAAGGATTATGTGAACTGCATATAAATAATATGCATTTTCCTTTCCTATGGAAATCCTTTATGTGTTTATCTTCCTCTTGTTAATACACTATTTGAATTTAATATTGAAGTGGTGGGGTGAAAGTGGAAATTCTTGTTTTATTATTTTTTAATAAGATTCTCTAATAGTTTATCAATCTTATTCTTCTTGCATAAAACCAAATCTTTGATTGATCTATTGTTTTAAGTCTCATTTTTATTGATTTCCACTCTGATTTCTTTACTTCCTCAATTTAGGATTGGACTGTTTTGGTTTTACTATGACCTTGAGATGCATCATTGGGATATTTGGCAATCTTCCAGTTTTAAATTTAGACACATTAGAATAGACTTTGGGTTATGATATTTTGCATTGCAATTTTTGTTTGATTTTAAAATTGTCTTCTTTAATTTCTTCTCTAATCCATTAATTATTTATGAGAATATTATTTAATCCCCATGTGCTTGTGTAATTTATGTGGTTTCTTAATCTTTTGACTTCTATTTTTTTTCCACTATGATCTGACAGGATTTAAGAGATATTTCCATTCATTTCAATTAATGTACATTTACTTAAATTTGATTTGTGACCTAAACCATGGTCTATTTTGAAGAAAGTTCTATGGGCTGCCTAGAAGTATGTGTATTCTGCTTTAGTGAAATGACACAATCTGTAGATAGGTGTGAAATCCATTTTTTCAAAGCATTAATTAAACTCTGATATTTCTTTAATTTTTTATCAAGTTGACCTATTTTTCTGTATGAGATATTGAAGTCCCTCACTACAATTGTATTGATATCTCTTTGTTAAATCTTGTATATTTTATTTTGTGTAATTTGATAACATTCAGTGCATCTATATTTACAATTGTTTTTCTCTTCCTTGTGAATGGTTCCATTTACAAATAATTATTGACCTTCTTAGTCTCTTGTAATAATTTTGGAGTGGATTTCATATCAGAAATTAGAAAAGATATTTCTCCTTTCTTTCAGCTGTGCTGCAGAGATTTCCATTTTTCAACTTTTCTCTTTCAGTTTGTGGATTTACTTGAGGTTTGTATCTTGGAGGAAACATAGAATAGGATTTAATTTTTGATCCAAAATGTCAATTGGTGACTCCTAAGTGAGGAGTTAAGACCATTTATATTGAGTGTTATACTTACTGCATCTTGTCCTTATATTATTTTCAGTGCATATTCAATTATTTGTTTATTTTTTCCTCTTGTTCATCCAGAGAACGGATAGCTAGAGGGAGAGAGAGAAAAGAAAAGTGATACAAAACAATCAAGGCCAAGTTTATGCCCAACAACAAATTAAGCTATTTATGTATCACAAGCATACAACTAAATCAAAGAACACAAGGACCCTTAGTCCTCCCAATTTCTGATAACAGTAGCAAAATCTAAATCCACTGGGACATGGTAGCAATTATATCTTCTATGCTGTCAGCTTCTTCTATCCATATGGCTCTTTTGAAACATGGCAGCTTAATACTTCAAATTGAAGATAGCTCTCATATTCAAGACTCCTTCCCTAAACATTTACAAGATATCCCTTATCTGGTTTTCTAGCACCAAGTTCTATTTTATACATTTGTACAACTTATGCCACTATTCTTGTTCACAACACTGCATGTTCTCACTCATGCACCAGCCTCAGCTATGTGTTGCCCCAGTGCTTCCAACAGACATCTCAAAATCATGGTATTATCAAATCATCTATGCACAGGAAATACCTCCTGAGAAACTGCTGTGCTCCCTGCCTTCACAGCCTGCTTGCATGACTGTTCATTCTGCTATAGACAATGTTTCAAGCCCTCAAAATTCATGTATTTATATACTAACTCTTAGTTGGGCAAATCTGTTAACCATTCTAAGCACTACTTGTATAAGTGTAGAATGCCACTCGTAACAGTGCAGATAACACATAATATAATTTAAAAACATTAAAGATGTCTTACAAATTGCAAACTTAAGGTTAATATGCATAAAATCTTATTAAGTCTCTTTCAATTATCAAAAGTTCTGTTAAGTATATGATTCAATGAAAGCTCTTTATTTGTATTACAATAGTGTAATTTTATTGTTTTGAAAAATCTCTCAAAAAGCTAAGGATTGGGGCAGGGATTTAGCTCAGTGATTCTGCTGCCTGCCTTGCAAGTGCAAGGACCTGAGTTCGATCCCCGGTACCAAAAAATAAAAAAGAAGCTAAGGATTGCAGTATTCATGGTTGAATATTAAGTGTTCACAGTTAAATTGTATCTTTAAAAAATGAATGGAAAATTTTCTGAAGATATCAATTTTTCCACAGTAAATCAAGGCTCTGAGAATCCAAAGTCCTAGTTAAGAAAGTCTCGCAGTGTCAAACTTCACAGAATACTGTAGCCCAGCTTTAGGACTAGGTATTAGATGTTTAGACCATTGGAGAAGAGAAGATACTTGGGAAAAGAGTAATCAGAACTGATTCATCTGACATTTAACTTGGTGTCTTGGGGATCTGAGAATCAGTAAGAGAAAATTTCTTTTTGAAGAAAAACATCCCACAAGGAATTTATCCTCTCAGGTGTGGAATGAAAAGAGAGAGAAGTGCTCATCAAAAAGATATACAGAGTTTTAAATATCTTCCTGCCTGAGCCACTTGGAGTGTACAGCCTTGGTCTGGATAGGATGTGATTGTTTACTTTGGATTTCTGCATCTGACTTGGGGAATAATACTGAACACCTTACCCTCTTGGTGGCAACACAGCTTCTGGTTGCATTGTAAAATATCCAGGGAGGAATTGGATATCCACAAAGCTCTTTCCATCCGGAAAAGTATTGTGGGGACTACAGTGCAAAGTGTGCTGCAAGAAGCTTCTGAGTGCTTGAGAGACAAGAATTTATACCTAAGGTACCCAAGAGCCACACCATACCAGCACAGAGTTGAGATATTACTGAGGTTGATTCCATGAGTGTTGGACTAATTTGTTGACCTGTTTATTTAACATGCTGAAGAGGGAAGGAGGGGCTAAATCCTGACAAAATAAAGCTAATGTGGATTGTTAAACTAGATTAGAACAGAACTTGATAGACTTAAAATATTTTCATTACTTTACATTATTCATACAGCATATGTTCAAGAATTCATTGAATTAATTGAATGGAATAGAGAAATGGGTATTTACCTCTGGAGCATCATTGAATGAAATGAGACATTTCTTATGTCTGATTAGGAACATCATTTTGATTTGCTTTCTATTATGTCATTTTTTTCTACATTTGTCAGCATTTCAGTGGAAATTTCCAGTTCAGTCTTTCTTTATCAATTTTGGGGGTTTTAGATTTTAGATACTTTTAGCTATAAAATTTTAAATTTTATCATTGAACAGGTCTATATCCTTAATTCTGACTTTCAGGTCTTCTGCAAGGTGCATACTCATAGTTTATGTTATGTTTTGATGTTTCACTAAATTGTATCATTTGCTTTCATTCTGAGGTGTTTAATATTTTCTTTGTAATACTTTTCTTGTATTTCATTTAATATGGACATGTTTAATACATTTCTTGTAAGAAATATGATTTACAGGATCAACAAATTTCTTCCATACAGATCATTATTTATGCCAGATTTATACAACTTCTCATGATTTTCCAAGTAAGCTGAAATATACACTTTTCACTTATTAAATATCCATATATGCAGAAGCACAAATCCCAACTCCTTCAAGAAATAGAAACTAGGCCTGTGATAGGCCAGTGATGGCAAAGCTTCTAGAGCTTTCACTAAAAACAAACAGCTCACTGTGGTACAAAAGCCATATGTTGACCACTACTGTTCTACAGGATGCAAAATTCAAGGAATATGCTTTATTCTACATATGTACAGGTAGGTCTTTGCAAGTTTAATTATCAATCCATTTGGAGAATATAAAATTATTGATATTATATAACTTCTTTCACATTATGCTTGCTGTTCCATTTAGTTTTTTATAAAGTGATATTTATTTCTTTTTAAGGTGGTGTTGTTCTTGTACCTTTTTTCTCTATTTCTCATTTGGTTAATTTTATTCTTCATAGTGTAGAGATATTCACACACTCCTATGGAACAAAAAGATGAACACATCAGGTGAAATCTTTACTTATTTGGATTTTGCAACATTAATATTAAGACATCACACAGAGTAATATATGTAAAGCAGGATTTTATTGAGTGTAAAACTTCACACTTGTCATGGCACATGGATGATTTTATAAAATACAATCTTAGGAGTCCTTTGCATGATGGTGGAAGTTTCCAATCATAACTAGAGCACCAAATGGATTATCCAAAAACTTAAAATTTGAATGAGTAATACAAAACATTGCACAATGA